GTATTTGTAACACTTGTTTTTTAATATACTATTTTAAAATGGCAACCTACTATGACAATATTTTTATTAAAAACTATGAGCTACAAATTAAAAAAAAAATGTTTTTTGTCAAGTAGTTTTTTTTTAAAATAAATTCTTAAAGTTGTCTTCCAAGCTCATCACGAAGATTTTCCGAACTTAACCGATGTAATCGTTTCATACATTTGGACGTAGGACACGGTTTTTTGTGCAGGTAACTACTTAAACGTGGTTCCGGATAGAACAAAAAATCCAAAAAGAACTCACTTTCTTTTATAAATCACCTCTAAGTACCTGCACAAAAAACAGACCTGTCCTATGACCAAATGCATAAAACGACCACTTCGGTTAAGTCCGAAAAATCTTTGTGATGAGCTTGGAACTCGGAACGCTACTTTAAAAATTATTAAAAAAATATTTGTTAAAATAGGTATTTATTATACAAAACGATAACCAATCTTTGTCGTCGTGTATAATATTTCGTTTTATTTTGTACTCACCTACCAGAATTTCTTGAATATAAACAGTAGATAAAAATTACTTTATTTCACTAGACGATAAAAGACTACTTTGCCTACTGAAATTAGTTGATAAAAGCACTCTTTAACGCTGAGTACAAAATAAAACAATTTTATTTCATTAAAAGTCATTTTTAATTTAAAGAAATTTCATGGTGAATTGTCATTAAAAAAATTTTTGGCCAAAACTCGAAAACTCAGACATTTTGAAAAATTTTATTCTTAAAAAACGATCACATTTTTATGGTACTTTAAACAGCACTATTTTCTTCCACAAAATAATTAGTTTATGTAAAAAACGCTTGGTTTCATACTTTTTATTCACCCGGTATATTTTTTAAGTACATAAAGGGTCAATCATAGGAGAGTTACGTCTGAAACAATTTGGGCAGTAACCCATTATACAATTCACATAGGCGTCTAGCTTCCTCATTTTTAAAAATTATAAAACTGAATCCAAGAATACTTTGCATATCTTTTCATTTTAACATTTTAAAAGTAACAGTCAATTTGCGTTAATACAATGTATTATTACCAAAATAACGAAACAGTGGGTATGCTCTTAATCCAGGGAGAATGCGAGAAAAATACTGCTACGGTAGCAGCTCTGTACTTGGACAGGTATCCAAATCGAATGCATCCGGTTCTTGAAACATTTAGAAAACTGGAAGCCAAGTTACGATAAGATTGGCCCCCAATGAAAGACCCCGTCAGAGGACTGCTATTGGCCCAGGAAATGAAATTAGAGTCCTTAAAGCACTACTCAATTACTTGTCAGTTTGACGACTCACTCATTTTCATCCAGCTCACATTGATTACTGAATAAATTTAAATAAAATATTATATCCAGTTACATACGCTAAACATATTTTTGGTTGCAAACTAATTAATTTTCAAAGTAACTCTCCTGTGACTAACCCTGTATAGTACATTTCTACAGTGAGCGGCAAAATTATGGAATAATCTTATTTATTAAAAATATTTTGTTTTGGCAAAATGCTCGAACGGGTTAATTTTGTTTTTAATGATAGAACGTACAACGTACTGCCAGCAGGACGGCCCGTACTACTCGTCCTACCGTTTTTAAATGCTTACTTTAGAACTTTCCGTACTGCTAGCAGGACTGCTATTTAGACGAAAAAAAAGAGATTTTTTTAACCTGTCTGAACATGTTTGTTTCGTCTCGATACGACCATTTTTACCAGTCATGGGTGAGATTAGTAAAGATACGCGTGTCGCTATTAGAGCGACGATATTTGACGCTCTGAGCAGTGCCAACTCGTGAAACAGGCTCCATTTTGGAGAAAATTTTGCTCCTGCCCTACTTACTTATATACGTGTTTTTTTATAATTTGTTTTAGCATCATTACTACATCTAAATTTTAAAATAATTTCACAAATTTTATCACTTATTATTACAAATTTTTATGTGTTTTATCACCTTTAAGTATATTTTTTATCAATTAGATTGAAAATAATAAAAGCTTAAATGGCTATAGTAGTTGAATATACAGGGTGCGCCAGAACTCGCGCCCCAGAGAAAAATGTCAAATGCCGGAGGCAATAGGTCACCAAAAAGTGGAGCCGAAGAAGTAATTTTTGCTTGCATAAGAAAGTTATTAGACTCTTAAATCCACCAATCCCAGAAGGGCACCTCAAGGTGTGACTGAAAAATTATATCCGTTGCTAGGTTACGAAAATAATACCAATTTAGCCAGAATTTAAAAAAGTAGCTGGTCTACTGTAATTTTGCGTTTGACATATATCGTGATGTGGGTGACATAACTTGCTAGTTTTCAGTATTTTTCTCGCTGAAGAGGTTGTACACGAGTATAATGAGACAGAATCGTTAATTATTATCAACCATTATCAAAAATTATTGAAACATTCTGGAAATTCCTGATGAACCGCGACTTCTCTAAAACTTTTTCACAGGTATTGTTCCTTCTCAACTTTTTCTTCGATCTGATACAGATTAACAAACCGATAAATGAATTTTGGAGCTTGAAAACTAGTGTATTATCCTTATGAAACAAAGAAGCAAGTGAGAGTGAGAGACCAGAAAAACATGAAGTAAGTACGCAAGTTTCCTTATTTACTTTAATGCAAAATTAACAGGAAAATGTACTTTTTATAAGAAATTGTGCTTAAATAAAACAGGTTACTGATTTTAATATCAAAATTGTAGTTTTACTCTCGTATTTAGGCATTTTTGCCCAGTAGAAATTCTAACCTCAAAATTTCAACAATTTATTGTTGTTTTCTTCCACTAACATGAGCTTACTATAACCCCTTGGCTGTTTTTTCATAAAAAAAATCCAGAAGAATGTTGCGATAGGGTTTGTATTTAGTACGAAAAGTTAGCATTTTTGCTAATGTTTTAATTCCGAGGGCATTTCAGCAACGCTTTTCGGTGAATTTGTGGGCTGGTCTTCTGGGGAATCATGTGGTCTGTCAATAATATCAACTAATTTCAACATAACGTGACTCCTTTTCTAAAAAGTACATTTTTCTGATAATTTTGCACTAAAGTAAATAAAGAAACTTGCGTTTCATGTTTTCATGGTTCTTCATGTTTTTCTGGTCTCTCACTCTCGCTTGCTTCTTTGTTTCATGAAGATAATGCACAAGTTTTCAAGCTCTAAAATTCATTTATCGGTTTGTTAATCTGTATCAGATCGAAGAAAAAGTTGAGAAGAAACAATACCTGTGAAGAAGTTTTACAGAAGTCGCGGTTCATCAGGAATTTCCAGAATGTTTCAATAATTTTTGATAATTGTTGATAATAATTAACGATTCTGTCTCATTATACTCGTGTACAACGTCTTCAGCGAGAAAAATACTGGAAACTAGCAAGTTATGTCACCCACATCACGAAAATTAATAAATGTCAAACGCAAAATTACAGTAGACCAGCTACTTTTTTAAATTCTGGCTAAATTGGTATTATTTTCGTAACCTAGCAACCGATATAATTTTTCAGTCACACCTTGAGGTGCCCTTCTCGGATTGGTGGATTTAAGAGTCGAATAACTTTCTTATGCAAGCAAAAATTACTTCTTCGGCTGCACTTTTTGGCAACCTATTGGCGCCGGCATTTGACATTTTTCTCTGGGGCGCGAGTTCTGGCGCACCCTGTATATACTCTGGAAAGTCTGAAAACATGTAGGTATGCACCTACTTTAAATTTTAATTTTTGTTTTTGTACAAAAATTTTTTTTAATAAAATTATTATTTAGATGGTATTCCTGCGAAGACAAATTTTTATAAAACCGTTTATCTTTTTCAAATAAATTTATTAAAACAGTTTTTTTATCTGCACCACTCGCCTCCCCTGGTTGAAAACGCTCGAATCAGTTCAGTTTGTCACGTGACTACATAGTGAGTAAAGTCCTGCTAGAAGGACAAGTCCATTTAAAAGCTAGTCCTTCTAGCAGGACATTACATAATGTACAAAATTCTTCCAGAAGCGCTTCCAGCAGGACAATGCCTTGTACGTTCTATCATTAAAAGACACAAAATCTTCAATTCACTTTATCTAAACTTGGACGAAATCGTAGATTTTAGGGGGTGAAATGTTAGTTAAGACAGCCTGTAGTTATAATATCTATACTTCAGGAATTTTCTATTGCGATACTGACAATGCCGCACCTGAGTTTTTGGGGACGAAATAAGTCCTAAACTAATTGGCAATAGTAAAGTTCTGAGATATACAGGGTGCGCCAGAACTGGCGCCCTAAAGAAAAATGCATATAAGGTAAGATACAAGGAACATGGAAAAAATGCTAAAAAAATTTTATCTATAAAAATTTCGAAGTTATGAGAGTTTAAAGTTTTTATTTTGACTATATTTACTTCTGTTGGAAAAATAATTTTCCAAGTTTTTTTGCTATAGGCTATTAAAAGAGGAAACAAGGAAGCTGTATCCTAAATTCTAACACTGTTCAATGTTATTTGTGGCTTTTATTGGCAAAATGTTTGTCCCTTTATTAAATAATTGTAAAAAAACATATACAAGATCACCAGTATCATAAAATAGATATAAAAAATGTCAAATGTCTAAAAATAAATGTCAAAATTTTTTGACAGATAGAATTTTTTAAACATTTTTTTCATGTTCCTGGTATCTTACCTTACTTGAAAATTTTCTCTGGGGCGCGAGTTCTGGCGCACTCTGTATATGTATCCATGACGCGGTACATGACGATAGTACCACATTTTAGTTTTTTTTTATCAGTATAACGCGCCTTATCTAAAACGCGTTCAGTGTTGCCACCTTCCTTCGAAATTCTGATTTTTCTATTGTTACAATTTCCGAAAAATATCTTTAGCAGTTTTTGTTTGGTTTGTGCAGGCGTGCGTCCCCACAACTTTGTCAAAGTGATACGACTAGTGTTTTGCAGCCACCGGCAACGTTGCATTTCACTGACAGTACTTGCGGCGTCGTGGGCAAGTGTAGTTCGTTTGCCTTCGCCTTGAAACATCATCGAATCAACGGAGCCCCCATACTGTCAAATCGCGTCTACATTTTCCAAAAACGAATCGAACCCGAAATGAGGTAAAGTGGCGAATAGACCCGATACGTACACGTGCTGTTCGCGTTCGTGTCCAGTATTGATTTTTATTTCTAACCTCTCAGTGATTCACTCCATCCAGTTCACCCTAGAATTAAAATAATTTACAGTGTGTGTGTGTGTACTGTGTGGCGGAGGAGTGCGACATTGTCAACAGTGCTGTGGCAAAGGTTGTTTGATGTGCGAAATTGACGTTCAGCTGGTACCTAGTTGGTTTTATTGTTAACAATTTTATCATGATTCTAATGCTAGCGATTCGGAAGTTTTAATTTTGTGGTGAGTTTCGAGTGGTTTTTGAAAATTTGAGAGTGTCGAGAGGTCTTCCTGGAGAGGTTTTTTGAGTTTTCCTCTTGTTGGGATGACTTTTAAACTAGGTTACTGCACCTGCTTTTTGACACAAGGACGGCGGAAATTTTTCAAATGTCACTTAAACTGACAGTGACGTGTCAAAACAATAAAAATTTGATAATTTTTATATTCATCCAGAGCACTTAAATGAAATTAAAGAAGATGTAACGGATTCTTTATTTTAAAATAATTGCGGCATCGATAGGTTTAAATCAGATTTGTTTATTTATCTAACCATGAAATTAATTTAAATTGCAAGTTGCCATGATTTCGTCAGAGGCAATCCAAACTTTGGTTATGCATCTTAGAAACTATTACCTTTTAAATTTATTTATTTTTGCACAAGTTGTGATCAGTAGAGTGTTAAGAAGTTATTAATACAACAAAATATAAATATTACCCTACAATATACAGTTTTAGATGTTTATAACTTTTTTTGAGTTGTGAATGCTTCAGTTGTAATGTCCAAGTCATGTCATTGTTAAAAAAAATGGTAAAAATTATGTGTGAAGAGTTGACGACTAAAACTTATGTGTATTTTCTTGTTTTCTTTATTTGTTATTTAAAAAATGGCATCTTGTAAAATCAGAGCCTATTTTAAAGTTCGTTTCATTTTTAAATTAAAATTAAAATTAAATTGTCGAATAATGTTGGCATAAATCTAAATTACTCTAAAAATCTGGACTGAGTAAAGGGTCACTCAACTGTCAAATTATTTTGTTTCACTGAAACAGCGGCGCGTTTGTTTTAAAACCAAACAAAGAACATCTTTTTCTCACTTTCTATGGTGTTCAAAACTAGGTAGTAAAAATGAATTTGAACAGTGCGAGAAACATTTTTATTGTTTATAGCTTTTGTTTTATCACATAATTGATTACACGTTATCATTTTTTATTAAATTAGTTAGTGTAAATCTTGTTTAGTTCTGTTTATTGTGAAAAGTTCTATGAACTTCTAGAATTTTTTCCCAAAAGTAAATAATAATTAATAATACTTGTTGGCAGAACTGACTCGAAATTTCATGAAACTGGTTTATTTTGTTTATGAATAAAATGTCAACAATGCACAAAAAATTGTTTCCTGAGATGGTCTTGTAAATCGAAATTGTTGACTGAACCTGCTTCGCGGAGATCTGTCACCAGGGTCAGGTTTAACGCTCTCATTTTCTCGTTTCGAGGGTGTAATCAGGAAGTCATGACAGCTTTAGCACGTCAATAAACTCATCAATTACGCAATTTTTGTAATTCAGTCGTAAATAATCGCTTTTTACATATTTCACTGATTCATGGTTATTGCCAATGCTAAATCGTGGTGAACACTACCAACCTCAATTTCGACAATCGAAATACCCATTTGTTCATTATTTTGCCCACGTAAAACACCGCTAAAGCATTTTTCGAAGCACGTGACTTTATTCCATATTAGGTGAAAGTAAACAAAAGTGGTTTGCGCCAAAGGAAACTAGTCCAACAGCTTTTTACCGGGGCAAATATGAATCGTGAACTATTAGATAATGATTTACGAAAATTCGAGATTTTTTCCAAGGCGAATTTATTTGACAGCTGAATCGATTGACCGGTTACGTAACAATTTTAACGCGTGAAATTGCCGTTTAGTATGTAGTCTAGAGACATTTTTACCAAAGTTTGACCAAACAAGAATTTCTTTCTAATTTTTAATTAAACAAAGGTTTTGTGTTTTAAGGAAGCTGCACTGATCGTTTTAAAAGCACTGCTTTAGTCTTGTTGGCACCACAATATGGTCTTGGCGATGTCATGGTCAGTCAAGACGAATTTTTTTATTAAGTTCCGGCAAAATCTAATTTTGACTTTTTTTCTGTTAATTAAAGTGTTTTGTTGATTGGGATTTTTCGACTTAATCGGTACTTTAATTATATTAGAAAAAACTTGAATGCTTCAGATATTTGTAGGCATACAATTATGTACTTTATTCTTGATTTAAAAATTCTAATTGCTTTCGACTTATTTGATTTCTATTGTTCAACGATACCGGTGTTTAGGTATATTAATGGCGATTTTATGACAACTCATTTTGATAAGAATTGAACACGTTTTTAGGTTTTTTTTGTCAAAATTTTACATTTTATATTTTTTTTCAGAAAACTATGCTTTGAATAATGGATTTTGATAAGGATCCCACCCTTCAGGAATGGACCCGCGAGCAACCCTTATCCGTCCTGGCCCTTGATAGTGCTGATAGGGCCGTCCTTCGAATTGCAGGTAAACAAGTATTTTTAGACAGTTTGCGTGATGGATGCATTATCGCGAATTGTTTTGTGGGCGTTTTTGACAGTTATCTGCGTTTTATTATAAAAATTTGATTTTGTTTTACACATTGCTTGGTTAAATAATTAGATATAATTACTTGAACTAATTACTAATTAGCTAATGGGGATGTGGAGATGTTATAAATAATAATTGATATGTGTGGGTCTGACTTTCTAAATTTTGTTAAAATGATTCGGATTAAGTTACGATTTGTCATTTGGTAAGAATAGGGAGAATTTTTTCGTATAGATACACTTGTCGTGTTGTTCAGTGAAACTCCGGAAATGCTTCAGATAGCCCAGTTTTGATTCACTTACCTCACAAATGTACATACATAATTGTGAATCAGAAGATGGGAGGACATTTTGGCTCTCATGGGAAAATCCCATTCTGATTCTTAAAATACATTCTAAAGAAATTTAGTGACTAAAATTATACACCTTGTTAAAATTAAATTCGTGGTCTATTTCAAAATGAAACCTCAAGCAAGAATAAATATACTTGAGCAGCAATACACAATTGAAATTCTTCAGATTACGGGACATGACTTATTGACGGGTAGTATGCCGTTTATTGTTCAAGTCTTGGAGCGCTTTTTGACCTTCCTATATTGTTTGCAAGAGAGACAGATTTTTTATTAGTCGTCAAAAATTCCAGTTCAAAAAACTTTAAATTACTCATTAAAACCTCATAGTGTTGTACCACCAACAGTAGCAAATATTCATGCGTTTTTTTTCTTTACTAAGAACAGCCTTGGCGGCATGCATCTCATAGACAACCTTCACGCTCGTGAAATAAACCCATCAAAATGATTGATAAAAAATTTGAACCAGTTCTTTCGACCTTCACCTCACGAACACCGGAAGTAAGAAAACGTAAACTTCCCATCGTTACACTATAATAATTTCTTGGGTGTTTTCTTCATCGGCAAGTTACATGAAGCGATTATTATATCGTTTAGTTTCCAATCAAGGTACGAGTAAAACAGGTTAATTTGCGTGCAAAGGGTGATCGATGTGGAAAATTAACCTAGTGAAACTAAATTAAGGAGAGTTGAGAAGGGATAGGTACGAGTGGATGCGAGTTTTTCTCGTTCTGAGATCGTTTACTATTAAAACTAATACAAGTGTAGCAATATTATTAACAAAACATTGCTAAAGTTAGTAAACAAAATAAAATTCTACAATCGGGGTAACTACAGACTGTCTCAACTAGGATATTCTCCTGAAAATGGGCTATTTGAATCAAAATATGTCTTGTACCTATAATTTTTTTGGGACATGCCGTATTTTAAAGTCCAGTTGTGTATGTATTTATTGCGTACTTCTTCCGTAATTTTTAAAATATGTTTTTTTTTTAATTCGATGCAAAATTATAGCAGATAATTTTGTTCTGGTATGTTGGCTATTATAATTAAGATCAAAGCGGCATCCAGACAACACATACTGTGGTTGGCATAACTAACAAGTCGTATTAAAACTGTTATTAAGGTATTAGAATTGAATAAAAAACACATCAAAGATGAAAGATTTAAAAAGAAAACCCTTCGAGTGAAACATTAATTGCGTTAATGGAAATGAAATTGTAATAAGCGTTTGCGAAATGGAAAGTTATTAAATTACAATAACAAAGGATTAAAAATAAATATTGTTTTGTGTTTTTCTCTATTCAGTAGGTACCCATCTGCTGATTTTCCATACATGACAGGCGTGCTCCATTTACTCATAATTCCACGAAATGATGGGGAAATGGTGCAATTAAACACAGTTAGTTTGAAATTACGTCCAATTAGCGTCTTTGCATACAGTGGAAGTATTAAAATTCCAACCGACTTGTAGAAAGATCAACAAAATTGATAGTTTTGTTTTTTCATTAGTTCCATAAAGACACAATTATGTAAACTGGCAACGTCAACAAAATGCTTTCAGACACTCAATTAAAAACACCCGTAACAGGTTTTGTCCTAACCTTAGTTATATTCGAGAATAAACTTTAATTACTTAATTGATATTGCTCGTTGTACACTTGCGATTTGCCTTCAATTAGCACCACAGTGCGATGTTAATACTGGGTTTTTGTCATTGAATCTGCAAATGTGACAGGAAGCTTCCAGTTATCCTGCTAAAACGATATTCCTGCAAGACGTGCTCATTTTAAAAATTGTATTGTCACGTAAAGAACGAATTTATGCCAATGATGAGTCGAGTGTTTACTTTGAGATCATTTCATTACGATCATGAGTGTTTGATGGGACAAAGATCTGGTCGTTCAGCTGTCCACTTGATGAAATAATTTGTTTAAACAGCTGTTTGACACTTTTGTCAAAATTTTGAAATGTTAGCACGTCTTTTGATTTTAATGTTTGTTATTTATTTGTTGGTCAAGACCGTGGGGAGACAAAATCCTAAAGTGGCACTGATCGTGATTTTGATTTTTGTGATTCTGTTATTGTAACGAAAGAGGAAGTGTTGAAAGCCTTAAAAGGAAGCAATGTGACTCGATAGAATTTGAAATCGTTGTAGTTGAAGTAGTGCCACCACATTCAAAGAACCAGCGGATGTTGAAACCTGTTATGGTCATTAGAGACGATTGATAACAAAATTATACCGTCACAAGTGGCGAAGAATGTAATAAATCTTTTATTTTACTTTGACTGTTTATTATATCGATAAAAAGATTAAAAAACAGTACCAATTATAACTTGTCTTTTTGGTCTCATTTTTGTTTTCATTTTTGTCTTTGCGGCTCATCTATAATGTTGATGTCACGATTTTAAATCACTTTACTCGTTCCACGTCGTTGCTTTTGGTCGTGAGTCTATAGATACGCTCGAAATTTTCTAAGGTATCTGATAGTTTTCCTGATAGCTTCGCAGGCATGATTGAGTAAAATCACATGACATCAAAATAATTGGCTAATTAAAGTGCTTTTAGATTTTTCTAATACCTACCACACGGTACTAATTGGCACTTCCTCAGTTTGTTAATTGGTATCATAATAAATTAAAATTGTCACTTGTTTTGGTGTTGATTGTTTGGCAAAGCAACATCAAAGAGCAATTCGAGCGATCGTGATAAAAATAGTACGACCTTTGCGATCACTCATTTGTCATGTAACCTCTGTTGTAGTTATCTTATTTTGATCTTGTACCACAAACCGATTACGACAAAGTGTTTATTTTGACAGGTTTTTTTGCACATGTACGACTAGCTAAACATACTCGTACACTACTACAAATCGTTGTTTGTTGAGAAAAGTGTTTGCAAAATAATTCAACCTTGATGTGACAAAATCAAGTCTCTCATGTTGACTAATTTCAAAGTTTGAGCATTATAGTGTAAGTAATTTGGTCGTAACTCTAAACTTAATTGCGTGTTTATAACCTATATAAGATTTTCTTCGGTTATGAATGAACCGAGATAAACGTGGTAAAATATGCAAAGAATTCTGCTGACTCCAACTTTGATTATCAAGAAAAAACAGATCATGTTTTAACTTTCTCTGAAATATAAGTTTGTTAGTGTAAATCTTGGATTCGTCTGGAGAGCTAGACATGGCTCCGGTTCTCACGTTTTCTTTGTCTTGTCTGTCACCTCATGTAAATAATTGCAACTCGGTTTGTTTTATGAGATTAGTGTATTTCATAAATGAGAAACAAAAATTGTGTTTTCTTTTGTTTTAATTGAAATATATATGTGATTGACCACTAATTAACTTATATGCCAATGCCATGGGAACGAAATTGTACTTGCATGTAATAATAATAAAATTAAATATCAAGGAATTTGCTGAAAATTGGCGACTTTTATGTAATTCTCTTTATGATTTTATTAGCCTATTAGTCGTTCCACTTTTCTTATTGTGAATATTGTGGGTACTAGACCAATAGAATACGAAAGGCAAAAGATAAGAATTGGCATAAAAATGAGTCAAAGAGCTCTAGGTTAAAGGTGAAATGTATAAAATGACAAAGTTTTAACAAAACTCTCATTTCGTTTTGTTTTAGTAATTTGATAGTATAACCTGATTCTAGTCTAGACGTGAATTTTTAACTAAAAACGAAAGTTTGTTCTATTAAAATGATACCTACTTACGTAATACGTGGAGGTCATTGTTTGACGTTTTGAAGATTTATATCTTAATTTATTTTGATGGGATTTGTAATGGGTTTGCAAGAACAGTAGTTAGGAAGTTAATGAGCAGTCATGTTTCTTAGTGGTCGATTTGAAGAGATGATTGATTGATGATCATTGGAATTGAATGCAATGTATCTTATTCCTGTTATCAAAATTTATTATAGGTATCCAAAAAATACGGGGTGTTCTGTTTTTATTGTTATAAATTTAATTACGTGATAAAGTATGTATTCAATTTTAGTACAATAGTTTCCTATAAATGTGTATCAAAAATACGAGGACTATGTAAGGGAGCTAAACCCCCTAAAAAGCATGCGTTTTTTAATGTTATTTTTTTAATATTTCAGAAACCATTTTAGAAACAGTTACAAAATTTGGTACAGCTGATAATTTTTATAGATCTAAACGAATTCAAAGATAAAAAGTTAACAGTTTTAATGATGGGCGTCCTTAACTGGGGGTATAAAGTAAAAGTACTCAGTAACTATTTTGGGTGTATGTTCTTGCCACTTTCAGCAACAGAATCCTAAATTCCATAGTTTCTCATAAAAAAGAGGTCTGTCTCTTCCTTATTTCGATACACTTACGTTTTTGAGTAAAATCAAATTAAAATTTATGTTACAGATCATATAGACAGAATTAAAGTCTAAAATTAATTTCTTTTACTCATTACCCTCCCAGTTTAGAGCGTCCTTGATTAAAAATTTTGACAATAATTTAATTTTAATCACCTGTTTGAATATTGTTTGTTGTAAAGTAGGGTTAAAAACCAGATTTTCTGAAAGTTCGATATAGTGAAAACCACTGAAACATATA